CACAGCTCTGTCCTCCAAGGGGAGCAACAGCCAAGGAGACGGGTCCAGCTGATGAAGGGGCATGGGTGTCTCCCTGTACTGCAGTGATGAGTTTTCCTCCCCCTGGTCTCCTGCCTCCCAGGAGAGGCATGAAAAGGGCAGACATGAAGTTAGCTTCATGCAGGCGCAGTCTCTGATTGCTTGAGAAAAGCCCTGGAGAGTAAAGGACTTAGGCAGCTGTGGGGAGACGGTAACCTTCAGTCTGAGCAACTGTTTCAAGACCTGCTGGAGTTGAGTTCCTGTGCTCATTAGGCCTGACACTCCTATGCAGTTCCTGTTTTTGCTAATAAAGAGTTAACTCCACTTGCTCAGTGAGATTTACTGTTGGTTTGCTCTGGTCACCCCATCTGTCAGTGACATGTGACCTCCTAGGAGATTGCCCACAAGAGAATGAAGCTTTGGGGCTGAAAAAAAGGGATGCCCCGTTCCTGCTTTATACAATGCATAAACAAACTTGTACAATTTATTGGCATGTGGAAGCATGGAAGGGGGGGGGAGAGGAATAATGGGAGTCTCTGTTATGCATGCTTCAAAACCTGGCCCCGTTAAATGCCGTGCTCTCCGTTTAATTTATTTTAAGTAAATTTTGCTTAGACAAGTGGATTCGCTCTGCCCTGAGACTTGCATTAGTTCATCAGCGGTAGAAAATAGTGCTGAGAATTTAATCTGGATCTATTGACTGTAAGGGAATTTACAACGCTGCCGGCTTTGTGCACTTGTTATGGAGGCCCAAGCCATCAATCATCTTTTGGCGCTCTTGCCAACAAGGTGAAGTGCCCAGATGTCTTATTTTAGCAACTTCATTGTGCTTTTTCTGAACAAAAGAGCAGCCTTCTTCTGTCTTCTTGTTACAAAAGGTGCCCTCTTCGATTGCAGTGATGGAAACTGGTGGAAGCACCAGGGCCTCTCTCCCCAAGCTCCTTCAGTTCTGATGTCCAATTCCCAAGAGAACTGGGCATATCATTTTCTTGACTGCAAGCTGGTGATTAAGGAGAGACAGAGCTCTGTCAATGAATCTTGTTAACGGCTTTGTGAATGGAGCGCAACCATTCATCAGCTCCTAATACCTTGTGGGCTGGCAAGTGAGGTGGGGGGAACAGGAGTGAGAAAGACACCTCCCTCCCTCCCTCCTCCACACTGCTGTCCCCCTCTCTGTTTTGTGATTCCATTCATTGTCATTCTTGCAAATGTCATTCATGCCATTAGGTGTTCATTTAAAGAAAAATCACATTTGTTTCACATTATTCATTTGCTTTGTTTCATTGCTCACAATGAGGATTTGGAATAACCCAGCCTGCCCAAGCCCAGAACCTCAATTGCTACACCCACACCCTGGCATTTGCAACTAATACATTTATGACTAGATAGATTAGATAGATAGATAGACAGATGATGATAGATAGATAGATAAATGGTAGGTAGACAGATGATAGATAGATGATAAATAGATAGATAGATAGATGGATGGATGGATAGATCTCAGTCTAAAAGCAAGATGAGTGCTACAACCCCATAGTAGCCTTTGACTTAACCGTCCTTTACCTTTTTACCTTGGTGGATAGAGAGAGAGATAGAGAGATAAAGAGATAGAGAGATATATAGATTATGATATAGATGATAGATAGATAGATAGATAGATGATAGATAGATAGAAGATAGATAGATAGATAGATAGATAGATAGATATAGATAGATAGATAATAGATAGATGATAGATGATAGATGATAGCTAGATAGATAGATAGATAGATAGATAGATAGATAGATAGATATAGATAGATAGATGATAGATAGATAGATAGATCAATAGATGATAGATATAGATAGATAGATAGATAGATAGATAGATGATAGTTAGATAGATAGATAGATAGATAGATAGATAGATAGATAGATAGATAGATATAGATGATAGATAGATAGATAGAGATAGAGATAGATAGATAGATAGATAGATAGATAGATAGATAGAAAGATAGATAGATGATAGATAGATAGATAGATAGATGATAGATGATAGATAGATAGATGATAGATAGATAGATGATAGATAGATAGATATAGATGATAGATAGATGGATAGATAGAGATAGATAGAGATAGATAGATGATAGATAGATAGATAGATAGATAGACAGACAGACAGACAGACAGACAGACAGATAGATAGATAGATATAGATAGATGATAGATAGATAGATGATAGATAGATAGATAAGGAATCATGAGTGCTAGAAACTTGCAGATTTTTCTTTTTAAGAGGGATTTGGGGAATCTAGAATTCCAGGCAAATATTCATATGTGGGAAATCTCTGAAGGACACCTGTCCCTTTTCATAGTTTGCTGATACCCACAAACATGGACTTCTTTATTAACCTAGGGAGTTTAGATATTTTCCCCTTTTCTCAAGCAGAGAGAAAAGAGAGAAAGAACAAACTGTCCCACTGAGATCCCAGAGACTCATCTGCTGAGTGTGCATATTCTTGCACATCAGTGGGCCTGTGCAAGGGCTGCGATTTTCAGTCGCCTCCACTAAACCTTTACTTTGCCTGTTGACACCTGCCCCCCCCCTTCCATTTTCCTTATCCCATGCCTTTCTTGAAAGAAAGAAAGATCAGACAGGGAGATGGGGACCTTATCATGCATCAAACACAGGTGATGCCTGTTCTTTTTATTTTCACCTGGCATCTTCCTTTGTTACGATTGCAAGGCTCTGTTTTCCCTAGCGACATCTCAAGAGCTTTGTTTTATTTGAGCACAGGGGATGCACCATCTCCTGGCTCAATCACTTGTGGCAGAGTGGCTGATCAAACCAAGTGTTCTAAAACTGTGTTGCTTTAATATGGTTCATTGCATCCAGGTTATAATTTGGAACAAAAAAATTAGAGAGATGGAGGAAGAATGTCCTGGTTCCTCTCCTGATTCCTGCAACAGAATTCAGGATATTGAAGATCTAGGGTTGCTACTTTGTTTTCAAGAAAGGTTTATAGACCTTATGTCATTTGCTTGAAAATGCTTGAATGGCGACTGGGAAAAATTTAGAAGGAGGGAATCAATAGTTGCCGTGTGGGATTTCACATTCCTAAGCCTCTCCCTGCTTCACTCTCACCCACCCTGACAAGCAAAATAAATTATGTAAAATAAGTAAATATTGGCAGTGGTGCTCAATTTGCATAATGTATTCCGGCCACAGATGTTTATCTTTATGGTGACACAGAATTTCCATTGTCTTTTGGTTTATCGACCTATTTGTTAGCACAGAAAACTCACCGCCCTGACATGAGTGGCAGATTCACAGCCTAAATGTGTTTCTTAGGGCTGTGCCAAATGTTCCCCAGATTTCTATTTCTGGGTTGAAAACAGTGGTTTTGGGTGGAGTAAAAATGTGTCCTCTTTTTTCTTTTAATACTAAGGTTGTCTGATAGAAATGTTTAGATAAATAAAATGAACACCTACATCTCTCCCTGCAAGTTGGTGTCTTATACCTGGTCAGACTGAGGCTGCAGACACACTATATAGTGCATCCAAGTTTCCAAAGAACTCTGGGAAATGCAGTTTGTTAACGGTGCTGGGAACTATTGCTCTTTGAGAGGTAAATGACAGTTTCTGTGATTCTTTTGGAAGTAGAGAGAAGCCAAAGAATGGCCATGGGTCAGGGATAATGGGAAGTTTTCTTTTGTGTGTGAAAAGGAAAATGAATGCATTTGAGACATTTGGGTCCAAAGATTGGGGGGGAAATGCTTAACAGAGAGTAGAACAGTTGGATGTCATCCTAGAGTGAATGATTAGAATAATTTATTTCATATAACTGACAGACGGAAAATTGGAAGTCTTTATTTTTCTTTCTTCTTTCCTCCTTTCCTTTTTTTATATTCTTTCCTTCTTTTGTAATATTATTTATCCTTTTTAGATATATACATTTCACTGATTTTACAATCATTTTGACATTTCAAAACATGACTTCCTTCCCCCTCTTTCTGCAGTTCCGTAAATTTATCTTTAATATCTTCTGCATATCCAAATTAACTAAACTTGCCCATTTATTTATCTTCTTTATATATATAATCTTATGTAGCTGCAGGTCATTACCATAATCCTGCCAATGGTTTTATCTGTTTACAATTTATCTGTAAATATTCAATAAACCATTTCCATTCTTTTATTAAAAGTTTGTTATCTTGATTTCTTATTTTTCCTGTAAGTTTCGCCATTTCTGCATATTCCATAAGTTTTCATATCCATTCTTCCTTTGCTGGGACTTCTGCTTCTTTCCATTTGGGGACAAGTAACATTCTTGCCGCTTTAGCTGCATGCATGAATAAATTTCTGTACAATTTAGGTAGTTATATCCCTATAATTTCCAGAAGAAAGATTCTGGGCTTTTCTTTTCTTTTTTTCTTTTTCTTTACAAACATTATTTTAACTATCCTTTTCATTTCATTATATGTCATTTCCCTGTAAGCTTTAACCTTACCACAAGACCACCACATATGATAAAAAGAACCTTCTTTCTCTTTACAATTCCAACACTTCTTTGATTTAGTTTTATACATTTTTGCCAGTTTACTTGATGTTAGATTCCATCAATATATCATTTTCATATAAACCATTATATCATTTTCTCTTAAACCATAGCATGCTGTAAATTTCATCTCCCTATTCCACAATCATTCCCTGCTTCCATATCTTATTTTTTCCTTCTTTTTATCTTCTTTCTCTTCTTTCGCTTTCCTTTGGTGTCCTCTGCTCTGGGCCGTTATTGGGGTCCAAGGACAAACACATGGAGATGGGGATGGTTGGTGAAGGACCGTGTGAGAGACAGGAAAGGGAAGATCCCACAGGGCAAGAGACTGGGAAAAGAAAGTGATGTCCCTGGTGAGGGCTGGGAGGGTCCACCATTTTCTGTGTAAGACAAGGATTAAGACAGGGGTACACGGGTGGCGCTGTGGGTCAAACCACAGAGCCTAGGACATGCCAATCAGAAGGTCAGCGGTTGGAATCCCCGTGACGGGGTGAGCTCCCGTTGCTCGGTCCCTGCTCCTGCCAACCTAGCAGTTCAAAAGCACATCAAAGTGCAAGTAGATAAATAGGTGCCGCTCTGGCGGGAAGGTAAACGGCGTTTCCATGCACTGCTCTGATTCGCCAGAAGTGGCTCAGTCATGCTGGCCACATGACCCGGAAGCTGTATGCTGGCTCCCTTGGCCAATAAAGTGAGATGAGCGCCGCAACCCCAGAGCTGGTCACGACTGGACCCTTTACCTTTACCTTTACCTAGTCAACCTTCTGAGTAGTGGCACCCGCCCTGTGAAATGCCTTCCCACCAGATGTCAGAGCAAAACAACTACCAGACTTTTAGAAGACATCTGAAGGCAGCCCTGTTTAAGGAAGCTTTTAACGTTTGACAGACTATTGTATTTTAATATTTTGTTGGAAGCCTCCCAGAGTGGCTATGGAAACCCAGCCAGATGGGTGGGGTATAAATTATTATTATTATTAATCATAATAACAATACCTACCACCCACTAATGCATCTTTCTTCTTAGTAGTCCTACACTTGAGTAGGACCCTTGCAGACACACATGCCTGACTGGCATGTTCTCTCCCTCTTGGCTGATCGTTCGGAAGCGTCAAAAGCTTTCTTCTGCCCAAACATCACAGCGACTGATGGCAACAGACATCAGCACACTTAGGGATCCACAGAGTGTTTTCAGCTTGCGTAACAGAACCCAGCAACTCAGCATTTTGGCTAATCTACTTTATTTACATATAAAAACACATGGAGAACTGCAACATGGCTCCCTCTCTCTCTAGCATCAGACAGCAAAGAGCAAAAGAACAAAGGACAATAGTCCCACTTCACAGAACACAAACATCCTATCTCTGTCACTTCCCACACTGTGGAGACAAAACATACACCATCATTTGATAGACAACAATCCCATGACTGCAATCACGGAGCAGGAATTCTAACACCGCCCACCAGTGCTCAATGGAAGGAGGATTCAGCTTGTGCTGTAGAACCCCCCTACTCCCCACCTAGAATCCTGAAACACCCACTAGTGAGCGGTAGGGACCAGGTTGACAACCCCTGGATTAAGATCTACCTTCGAGAGAGAGTCAGTGTGGTGTAGTGGTTAAGAGCGATAGACTCGTAATCTGGTGAACAAGGTTTGCGTCTCCGCTCCTCCACATGCAGCTGCTGGGTGACCTTGGGCTAGTCACACTTCTTTGAAGTCTCTCAGCCCCACTCACCTCTCAGAGTGTTTGTTGTGGGAGAGGAAGAGAAAGGAGAATGTTAGCTGCTTTGAGACTCCTTCAGGTAGTGATAAAGTGGGATATCAAATCCAAACTCTTCTTCTTCTTCTTCTTCTTCTTCTTCTTCTTCTTCTTCTTCTTCTGAGGGCTCTGTGTTTTCTTTACTCTTTCTCTCTCTGTTTTTGTTTCTATTTGGATTAGTTTCTTTTATCTTGTGTTATGAAAAGGTTTTAATAAAATCTATTTTTTTAAAGAAGGAGGAGGAGGAGGAGGAGGAGGAGGAGGAGGAGGAGGAGGGGAGCAATAGTCCAGTCACATCAGGAAGGCCACACATTGCCCATTCGTGACTTAATCATAAGCATGGTAATTTGTGACTCCTCACTGCATTCTGCAAAGCAGGAAATGTAGCCAATTTGGGAATGCGGAAAAATATAAACAACTTCAAACTCATTTTTTTATATAAAAAAACCCTAGCAATAACCCCCCCTGCTGATAGCACAGCCTCCCATTTTCCCCTAGATAATCTGTATTTAATTCTGCACTTCACCTCTTTCCTGACCTTTGGATATATTCCTCATGACTACCAATCAAAACACTCCATAAATTAGAAATTCTCTTAGATCTTGCTGGAGCCTTAATCATTTTACATTTCCAAAATATTCAGCCGAGGCTCTTGCGGTTAGCTGATTTACCAAAATCACATGAAGATAATGTTTGCATACTTAAAGTGGAGAAATCAGCAGAAATGACAAGCTGAATTATCCCGTTTTTCCCCCTTGCAGTTGAAAATACATGAATATTTCATTTGAAAAGATGCACCTCATCACACACCCCTTTCCCCCCACTTGCAAAGTTTAAGAAAAGCTGAGCTAATTATGCTGTATATTCTACAGTTAAGAAGTAACTGTGACTGAGTTTAAGAAAGAGTTGATATTCAGAAGCTGTAAGGAGTGAGATAATGAGAAATATGATAATGATAATTAAAGCCTCAATGCACAGCTTTCCTACTTTGGAGCAATCACATTGTTTTTAATAGCATTACTTTAGTGAAGCAGGAGGGGAGCATATTCTTGAAGACCACTCGGTTCTTTAGACAGTGATTCAGGGAGGCAGAAGAGAAATTTGCGGTGGCTGAATCCCATTCCATTCATCCAGAATCTGTAGTAAACTGAGGGGAATTGTGTGTTGGCCAAATGTTCACAAAATGGAGCAACACAGGTGTAGCCAGGTATTTTAAGTGAGTTTTGTGGATACCTGAAACTCAGAATGGAAGGCTCATCAGACCCAAAAACGACCTATCCTGGAGAAATTTTGAGGAAGAGATGTCCAACTGCATACCTTCCAAGTGTCCCTATTTTCTAGGGACAGTGCCGGACTTACAAAAGCCATCCTGACTTCTGGTTAGACCCCAGAATGTCCCTATTTCGCCCCCCAACCCTACAGCCACTGAGCTCGGGGAGGAGGAGAGGCTACCACTTCTGCTGAGCGGAAGAGGCAGTGGCAGCTGCAAGGGAGCAGCCTATTGCCTCTCCATGTCCTCTCCATGGCCGCCGCCACTGGCCTCTTCCCTTGGGCAGCTCATAGCAGCTGCTGGACAGCAGGCAAGGAGGAAGAGAGGCTGCCACCACCCAGTGGGGGAGTACTGTCAAAAGTGGGTGCAGGAGTCAGGCCCTGTGACCAGTAGGGCTTCGCAGGACTGGGGCCTTCCTAAATTTATTCTGGAGAGGCAAGGTGCGGCCGCACAGGTGAGGCCGATTGGTAACTCACAGCACCTGGTGCCTAGAGCCAGAAGGGATATAAGGTCAGCATTTCCCTTCGGTTCTTTGCCACGGCAACACGTTTCCTGCCTTGTTGTGTTTGGCTTCTTGCTTCCTGATCCTCGGGCCCTTGACTCCTTGCTTCTCGGCCCTTGGCTTTGTAACTCCTTGCTTCTGTGCCCTTGGACCCTTGAATACTGACTCCTTTCTTCTTGACCGTCAGACCCTTGACTTCCTGACTCCTTTCTTCTTGACCCTTGGACCCTTGACTTCGTGACTCCCTGCTTCCTGACCCTCGGACCCGTGGCTTCTGGATTCTCGTTCCTGCTCCCACCCCTCCATCTTGCCCCCGGTCCCGACGTCCTCAGCCGGGACTTTGATCGCCCATAGACCAAACCGTGACAGGGAGCTTCATGCTCCGGCACCAGGGGGCAGAGAGGAGGCGGGGGCGGGGCTGGCCCATGTCCTGGGGGCGTGGTGCCCAGCGTGGGCGGGGAGGCAGCCACGATGGCACCCCACCGGGATTGTGCTGCCGGGGCAGTGCACTCCCCCCACACTGCTCTTCCTCCACCAGTGCCACCATCAAGGCACAGACTCATGTGAGGCACCAGCTCTGAGGGGCAGGCAGAGGGCAGGGCTGCCCTGGGCAGGAAGAGAAGTGGGGCCAAATTCAAGGAGCCTTGAATTTAAAGAAGAAATGCTCTGTACATCTGCATCCAATCTTGCCCCTTTTCTAAAATTTATTTATTGGTGTGTGTCTTTTTCTTTTTGTAAACCTACTGAAGAATAACATAAAATAAAACCGGGATTAAGGGTTTTTCTCAGGACGGTAGAGGGTGGATGTGCTGTGTCCCGTTAGTGTCATTGTGGTGGCACTCTCACTTTTTCTGATAGGAAATGCTCTGCAGGACGGGGACAAAGATGGGAGGTCAAGGAGGGTCAGCTGAGCAAGTGAGAAATGCCCCTATTTTCACCTGAGGAGTGTTGGAAGGTATGCAACTGAGAGCTATAGATAAAAACTTGGGGGGAGTGTTGTTGATTGTTCTTGTTTTTATTTTGATTATGTATTTTGTGTTTTTACGTTGTGGTAGATTACTGAGGACTGCCTGGCATGCTCTGGTCCATGGAGTCATGAAGAGTCGGACACGACTAAACAACAACAACAAGATTACTGTAATGTGTTATATGCAGGGCTTCCCTTGAAGATGAACCAGAAGATTCCATTAGTTCAGAATTGAATTGCTAGGCTGCTTAATCCAGATCAGGAACAGGTAATCAGATGCTGTTGAAAAACAGCTGCCATCATCCCCAGCCATTGCCATTCTGGCTGAGGCTGATGGGAGTTGGCATTCAACAACAGCCCTCTGCTCATATGCAATTTCCAGCACCTGAATTAGGTTTCATTTTCAGGTCAGAAAGGAGAGAGGCAGGTTTTTCACCTGCCCCTATAAAAACCCTACAAACTTTTTGCTAAGTTTGGAAACTTGTTCTTCCAGATCCTCACAACTTTTGGGCTTTCTTCACTTGCTACCTGACCATTGGGCACAGGTGCTGCCTGAAAGAACCGATACTGAGGTCTCTCACAATGCCACAAAGTCTTCTAAGGTTAAAGGAACCTGTGTCACAAGCTGTGTGGGGCCGGAAACCTTCTTATCCCTTTCTTACAACTTCATGCTCACTGTGACGATATTTGATGCTAAAACTGTTCTGCTGGCACAAAACGTACATTTGAAGATTGAGCGGCTGCCATTTGTCAAGGTCTCTGTTTCATTGCAAAGTTATGGGAAGGTGACCTGCTTTAGGTCTTATCTCCACATTTGTGCTTGCTTAGAGGAGATGTGCTCTTTCTAGTGCTGTGCTGGAAAATTCTCCTGCATTTCCTCCATGACCAACATTGCCATTCTCCATCTATATATCTCTTTATTACAGTCAATGGCCAGTATTCAAAGAGAAACTGTGTCCAAATATCTGAAATAGTACCAAACAGAAGAAAATAGAGAACCGAAACAATAAAATTACTAGTTCTCTGTGTCATGCTACAGAACACCAGGCCTACAAAGCAAAATTAAGTTTGCTGAAATCAGTGGCCTGTGAGTTTTAAATGCAGCAGCAGACTAGCCACTCTTGAGAAGGTGGTGCATTATGATCTGAAAGGAGTGAAAAAGCATAAAATGCATATAGTCATCGTGGGAATTTTTGTAGAAAGCATTTAGTAATAAATATGTATATCATGATAAAAGGAACAGTATATAATCATGTAAGTTATTGATTCAAACTCCTCAGATTCGCAAGGTCATTGATGTTGATAAGAGGAGGTCTATTTTTGGGAACCTCCACTGATGGAAGAACATTTAAATGCACTGGAGTAAAGGCTATACAGTGGTACCGCAGGTTAAGAACTTAATTTGTTCTGGAGGTCTGTTCTTAACCTGAAACTGTTCTTAACCTGAGGTACCACTTTAGCTAATGAGGCCTCCCGCTGCCGCTGCTGCACAATTTCTGTTCTCATCCTGAAGCAAAGTTCTTAACCCGAGTTACTATTTCTGGGTTAGCAGAGTCTGTAATCTGAAGCGTCTGTAACCTGAGATACCACTGTACAGTGGACGCTTGGGTTGTGAATGTGATCCATGCAGGATGCACGTTCACAACCCACAGCATTCGCAACCCGCAGTGGCGCATCTGCACATGCGCGGGTTACGATTCAGTGCTTCTGTGCATGCGCAAAGTGCAATTTAGTGCTTCTGCGCATGCGCGGCCCCCGAAACCCAGAAGTAACCCATTCCGGTACTTTCGGGTTTCGGCTGGTCCATAACCCGAAAAACGCAAGCTGAAGCAGCTGTAACCTGAGGTATGACTGTACAATGTTTCTGAATAGAAAGCACAAATTAATCAATTAATGTATGTGATGGTTGTGCTCTGCCTCCACTGTTGGAGGTACCAGTACCAGTTGATGGAAACCACAGGAAGGGAGAGAGCTCTTGTGCTCAAATCCTGCCTACAGGTTCCCCATGGCAGTTGGTTAGAGCATGGTGCTGATAATGCCTTCCGACTACAATTCTATGATCTATGTGATCTAATTGACCACTGTGATGGGCCTATACGTTATCCAAGATGGGCCATTGGCCTGATCCAACAGGCATGTTCTTATGTTCTTGTGTTCTTAATGGGGAAAGGTAGCTGCAAAAAGCAGCAATGCCATATTGTTCCTGCTGATGTGTTTTCACTGCAATGACCTCACAGCTACCTTTCCCCGCTTTCTATACCTCTCAGGAGGAAGAAGAAGAAGAAGAAGAAGTAGAAGAAGAAGTTTGGACTTGATATCCCACCTTTCACTCCCCTTAATAATAATAATAATAATAGTTTATTATTTATACCCCGCCCATCTGGCTGGACTTCCCCAGCCACTCTGGGCGGCTTCCAAAAGAATATTAAAATACTATAATACATCAAACATTAAAAGCTTCCCGAAACAGGGCTGCCTTCAGATGTCTTCTAAAAGCCTGGTAGTTGTTGTTCTCTTTGACATCTGGTGGGAGGGTGTTCCACAGGGAAGGAGCCACTACCGAGAAGGCCCTCTGCCTGGTTCCCTGTAACTTGGCTTCTCGCAGTGAGGGAACTGCCAGAAGGCCCTCGGTGCTGGACCTCAGTGTCCGGGTAGAACGATGGGGGTGGAGACGCTCCTTCAGATATACTGGACCAAGGCCGTTTAGGGCTTTAAAGGTCAGCACCAACACTTTGAATTGTGCTCGGAAACGTACTGGGAGCCAATGTAGGTCTTTCAAGACCGGTGTTATGTGGTCTCTGCGGCCGCTCCCAGTCACCAGTCTAGCTGCCGCGTTCTGGATTAGTTGTAGTTGTAGTTTCCGGGTCACCTTCAAAGGTAGCCCCACGTTTGAGACTCCTTAAAGAGTCTCAAAGTGGCTAACAATCTCCTTTCCCTTCCTCCTCCACAACAAACACTCTGTGAGGTGAGTGAGGCTGAGAGACTTCAAAGAAGTGTGACTGGCCCAAGGTCACCCAGCAGCTGCATGTGGAGGAGCAGGGAATCGAACGCTGTTCACCAGATTACGAGTCCACCGCTCTTAACCACTACACCACGCTGGCTCTGCAATGCAACCAACCAGAGGTTAGATGAGCAGAGATTGCCCACCACTCCATGCATTCCTGCTGTGAACTATGGGGCACCTTAACGTTTAACCTCGAACAAATTGCATCATAAACATTTCTTACACAAAAACACTCCGGAAGATGTGCTCTATCACGGATGCTTTAGCTGAGATGGCTGCATTTGCAGGGGGTTGGAGTAGATGACCTGTGATTCCATGTATGTGAAATGTTCCCCTGAAACCGGAGCCCAGGAAATTCGTCTGCCTCTTTGAAACATGCCTTCATTGCTTTCCCCCCTCACTCTTCTATGCATACAACTCAATATCTCTTGATATAATTAAGACAGAAGAATGAATCACAGACAATCTGGAAGAGCATGTCTCGCACTTCAGGTCGATGCATAATGCTTTGAAATTTATCCAATTTATTCTCTCTCAGAAAATTAAGTCTCCATCGCACCTTTGCTCGTGGCAAATGTTCAGGAGCCGACTCCCCAGATCCAAATAACATGTCTGATATTGAGGAACGTAAATGTGATGGAGATGAATGAGGATAACAGAGACAATGGCATATTGTACTAGGCAGCTCCAGTGGAGATATCAGTATTTATATTCCTAACAAAACAGGAACATGACTACTTTAATATAAAAAATGGTCAAGCCAGGAGTTTAAATAATGATTTGAAAACAACTTGGAGACAATTCAGCTGCAATTATGCCCTTTAGAGTAGGGATATGGGAGAAATTGAGTTTGTGAAAATCCTATTAGCACTTCTCAAAGGAATACATGGACCAAAATGCAGCCATCCTTTGGAATTCACACTTCCCTGGGTTGTCTGGGGCAAAATACATGTATATTATGGGAAACTAAGCATGAAAAACCTTGCATTAGTGAAAATAGCATGCAAAATGCATTGAATTAGGGGAAATTGCTTTAAAATGTGTCCATTATGCAGAATCACATACACAAATGTGTTTGTTAGGAGAAATGAGATGCTGATGAATTTTCATAATGAATTGTAAAAAAGAAAAACAAAAAACAAACTGATGCAGAGATGTGGTGAACTGCGAATTTAGGACTGGGAAAATGAGACAGTGTAATTGACAGATAGGTCCATCCTTCCTTTCAAGTAGCATTTGTTTTCAATGAGCAAAATTTAAGCATGTGCACGCTTGGCTTTCCTCTCCCTGCACATATCCCTATATCTGTTGCGGTTTGCCCCAACCACCCAGAGCAGATTTGGGGATGGTGTGGGGCATGGCTGCCCTGCTGTTATCTTTTCATTCAGCAGCCTAACAGCCCTCGGATAGAAGCTGTTCTTTACCCTGTTGGTGCCACTAATCATGCTTCTGTATCTTCTGCCTGAGGGCAGGAGATCAAGAAAGTGCCGGCCAGGGTGTGAATCATCCCTGAGAATTTTCCTCACTCTCCTGAGGCAACGTTCTTCCACAATGTCATCCAGCAGATTCACGGGACAGCCCATAATATCTGGTGCTGTATTCACCACCCTCTTTAGGCACTTCCTATCAGTTGATGTCAAACCAGCGTACCACACCGTGATGCAGTATGAAAGGACATTTTCTATTGTGGACCGGTAGAAGGAGATCATCAAATGTTGATTGACATCGTTCTTTCGCAATACTCTGAGGAGATGGAGTTAACACATTAGAACCATCCATGTGAATTAGATTGTATTAAGTTTTTTCTTTGTTTCACAGTTGGCAAATCTCTGCCCACCACTCCCTGAAATGTGCTGAGCCTCCTTTTTCTCTCCTTCCACTATCCATGAAAACCCACCGCTCTGTTATATTTACAACCCATCTAATGGGGTTACTCAAGATGGGGACAGGGTGAAGCATTTGATGTGGAGCTGATAGTTCCCACAAGCCATCTTAGTCATCATTTGTGAGCTTTATAAACAGCATCACCTTTGCAGCTATTCCTTAATTTATGTTTTGGCTGCCACTAATTGGTGTCTCACTGGGGGATTTTTCTAAACCAGCTGGGTGACCATATGGAGAGGGCCATTTTTATTTTTATTTTTATTTTTAAAAAAATTACAAGCCCTGCTGTTTATATACATGGAAAACTAAGTACCTAGGGAAATAAAACATTTCTCGCTATATTTTGCAAGGGGAGTCAAAACAGATGAAGGGAAGGAAGGATTTTGTCAGATTTCATAGATGGCATTTTCACTACATGATGTTTAAATAGCCCTCTGTCTTGCTGCTTATGTGAACATGGGATCATTGTGCAGGACAGGAAAACAGAGTAGTGGAACTGGTGATATAAACTGTGATTGGTTGGTTGGTTGATTGATAGCATTTTTGCTCCTCTCTTCAGCCAAAGAGGTTCTCAGAGAGGCTTAAGTAGTTTAACAGGGAATACAAGTCCTGCCCTCAGGCTTACAATTTAAAAGATATGGCAGTGAAGGAAAAAGGAATGAGGAGGGAAAAGGAGAGGAGAGGAGAGAAAGCAAGCTCAGGCTTTTAATATTATGGTTCTGAATACTGACCAGCTGGGATGGAATTAGTTCAGGTAGAATGATAGAATGGCCACCTCTAGGCGATAGCCAAAGCAGTTAATCTCTCTGCAGAGGCAATGAAATAGCCCTGCTTTGCTTTCATCCCTCCACTCTGCAGCTTGGTGGAATGGCTACCACTATCCCATAGCAAGCCCTGTTATTTTTGTTCGTCATTTATTTGCCAAGAAGACCGTTTTAACAAGGATGGGAAGGAAGGAGGGGGAGGGGGAACGGCAATGAGATCCATACGACCCATGTGTGGGTTAATTAACAAAAGAATTTGCTGAACGCCTAGATTCAAATCATAGAGTTAAACAGCAGTATACTGTTGGAATATGGGTTATTGTTATACCCTTTTTCATATCCCATTTTTAATCTCCTTACAGCTCTTGCCCTTCTCTGCACCCCTCTGGCAATGAGCAGACCACACACGGTTAAGTAAGTTTAAAACACTTTACTTACAGAATCCAAAGGTCTGATTCATATGTCGTTCCACGCAGCAGCACAGAGAACAGAGGCAGAAGACTATTGGGTGCAAAATATGGTAAGATAGTTTCAAGCATGCAGTCTGAACTTGGAGCAAGTTCAGACACATCTTTCCTGGTCGATTGCATGGCATGAAGAGAGTGGGAGAAAGGAATAGAAGATGCTTCACTTCCTCCCTTGTCGGAGCAGAGGGGGTGTAACCTAACAGAGTCTAGGAACACAGCTCTGTAATGTGTGTGTGTTAATGTAGGAGAGGGGGATGCAATCCCATGTGCGGTATAGCGGGCCAAGAATACTTCCTAAGAACACCAGAACTCCGAGTTGGAAGGGGGAAGGGGGGGAATCATAAAACCAATCAGCAAAACAGCAGGAAGGAAAGCTTTGCCAAGCTCCCTCGCCAATTACTCTTCTGCCCGTGAAGTGCCAGAAGTTGGTGTGGAATAACTCAAGCCTTAATACTATTGCTTTGTCCTCAATTAAAGGTGCTGAGTTTCACATCCTGGTTTGGCAGGCTGAAAGGGCGGAAGGAGGGCAAAAATGCAGAGAGAGGCAAATGTGGACAGAGATGGCCCTACCAATAGGCAGAGTGCAGAAGCTGGTGCCTGGAAGGGATGGCAGCAGTGGCAGAGCCCTGACTGGACCCTTCTTCTGGAAGGCTGGCCAATTTTTGTCATGTGGCCTGTCCCACACCTCTATAATTCCCCTCAGGTGTGATGGGGGACATGGTCTCTTTGCTAGTCCAGTTGTTTTCTGAATGTGGAATGTGAAGTGAGGCAGGAGTTGATAATGCAGGCAGGAGTTGATAATGCAGGTGAGCTTCACACAGGTGAGCTGCAAGCAAGCTGCCAGCCAGCTCTGTGGAGGCTCCTTTTATTGACACAATATGCAAACCCAGGCAGATACATTTTGGATTGTGACCTTTACACATCTTCCAGTCCCAAGATTGTGGGGTGGTACAAAGCTATTTTGGCACCTGTTTCCACTGCGTCATTTTCCTCTTGCAGTGTATGACGAAGGAGACAAAGGTCTCAGAGACAAAGGTTACAGACAGGACACCGCAGACTACTGAGACTGCAAAAGGTTAGACAGAGGGCAAGATGTTCAGACAGCTGTGGCTTTATCTATGAGGGGGAATCATAGAATCATAGAATCAAAGAGTTGGAAGAGACCACAAGGGCCATCGAGTCCAACCCCCTGCCAAGCAGGAAACACCATCAGAGCACTCCTGACATATGGGGAGTGTGCCCCGCACCCCAAGATCACGCGTGCAGGCAGCTGAGGCTGCCTGCGGGTGGGAAGTGTGCTCCGCACCCAGCGATCATCCCTACAGAATGTTGGGCAGGGGAAAATCATCTTGTCTTCTACTCAAACAGCGACACACATTGCTCTAACAGCCATGACTTCACCCCCAAGGAATCTTGGGAACTAATTTGTCAAGGGCGCTGAGAATCATTAGGAGAACCCTATTTCCCTCACAGAGCCCCAGAGTTCATGGGAAGTGGGATTGACTGTCAAAACACTCCAGAGGCGCCATTTTGTGTCCATGATTTGGGGGGATGGCAGTGTGTGTCATGTGTGTTTGGCATTGTGTGCCCAGAGTGCATCCGACGTGTGAGACTTCATGTGCCCAGCACATATCCCATGCCTGTGACATCATGAGCCTGGTGCGCATGATGTCACATCGGTGGGAGGAGGCCAAGCACAGCCCCCATCTTGGTGTGACTTCCTCTCTCCAGTGTAGTGTAGTGGTTAACAGTGTGTTTGTTGTGGGGGAGGAAGGGAAAGGAGAATGTTAGCCGCTTTGAGACTCCTTAGGGTGGTGATAAAGTGGGATATCAAATCCAAACTACTACTACTACTACTACTACTACTCTTCTTCTTCTTCTTCTTCTTCTTCTTCTTCTTGCGCTCAGGAGGTGCCAGCTACTGAATCATGCCATGCTCGGCCCCCTCTGCCCCCTCAACATTCAGGGGCCCAGTTCCCTGCCAGCAAATATTGAGGGGGCCAAAGGCCCCTCCACCCCTAGGAGTTGGCGTCCCTGAACCACTCTGATAAGTGTAGCTCTCTGAACCCTTAACAAATTATTCTTTTGGAGAAGCCAGGACTCATAAAATGGTATAACACTTCATAAGTGTATGATGCAAATGTGTCATATGGGTCTGACTGTAGGGGCTGGCTCTTGTCACAGAAAATGCTGCAAAGGACCCATAACAAAGAGGGAAGCATTTTGTTCTGGAGTGGACTTTTAAGAGTCTGCCAGATGTTTTCTAAGACATTAATCCATGCTGGTTTGCGGATTTGTCTCCCCACTTCCTTATGGTAGGGCCACGGTGAATCAATGCAAGTTCCTTAGTTTGTCTGTAAGGGGGAAGGGACGGTCTCTTGTAAATATCAAACAATACTCTTATTTGCTTGATTTGTTTGATCAGGCTTTGCTCCCTATTAAAATATGGTAATGGGTCTGAAATCTGAGAGATATTGTATAACGATTATGAATGCTATTTATTCATTAACACTCTAAACTGGGTTTGTGGGATTTTAAGGGCGAGTGGATTTGTTGGTGTGCTGGGATATTTGATGAGGAGTGTTGTGAAGGGAGTTCAGGAGGCTCCTGATTTCTTTCGGAATGGGGAGATGAGCTGAGCAGTGATCCCTGGAGGTTGACCACTAAGGAAAAGCAACAGTCCAACAGAGAGCAAAAGGGAAGCCGGGAGACTTGTGTCTGGTTCTGAACACCACGTTTTAAGAAAGGCGTTGGCAAATGGGAGCACAACTGGAGGAAGGCAATGAGAATGGTGAGGAATCTGGAAACTGAGCCTGTAGGAGGCCATTGAAAGAGCTAGGTGTGTTTAACCTGGGAAAGCACAGCTAAAGTAGGGGGGACATGACAGCTGTCCTCAAATTGCATCTTCATGTTAGACACTCTCACCCATAGGAGGCAGTGATGGCCACCAACATGGATGGATCATAGAACTGTAGAACTGGGAGGAATCCCGGTGGTCCTCTAGTCTAATCCCCTGCAACGTGGGAATTTCAACTAGATCATACATGGTAAGTGGTGTGATGGCCTGGGACTCGGGCTCAGACTTGGAACCAGAGGAGTCTCAGTCTGCACCGGATCCTTTGCCTCAGGCATCATCTGAACCAAGTCTGGGGCCTGATCCTGAAGAGTCCCAGTCTGCACAGGTTCCCCTGCAACAAAACCAGCTGGGCCGAGTCAGGGTCCTGAGCCTGCCCTGGCTCCAGATGTGGGGATTACCTTGCTGCCTTCAGCTGGGCCATCACTTACAGCTGCTCCACTACCGGTTGGGTCAGGGGAGGCTGAGGCGGCCCCTGGGTCTAGTAACCCACTGACGTCTCCCGAGCTGCAGAGACTAAGGTCTGAGAGAAGGAGAGACCTGAGTACTCACGGAAGGAGTGCTCGCCTTCAAGCAAAACAGGGAGGTGAGTCGCTGGGGGATCAGGACTGGCCACTACCCCGACAAAGATAAAGGGCTGTCGGACCCCGCCCCAGGTTGCGGGAGCAAAATTACTGTATGCCAGATCCTGCCTGAGATCCTGTACCTGTCCTTGCCTGGTTTCCTGCCTCGTGTCCTGTCTTGATCCTGTCGGACTGACTCCTAGCGGAACCTTCGGATTCTGGACCGGACCTGGACCACTGTTCTTGGGTTACCCCCGGGCCCAGCACAGGTGGCCTTCCAACCTCTGCTTAAAAACCTGTTCTACTGTTGAACAGCTCATGTACTGTCAGAAAGAAATTCCTGGAGGATAAAGCTATGAGTGGCTACTAGTCATGATGGCTCTGATCTGCTTCCACAGTCATGCAGTAATGAATACCAGCTGCTGCAAATCATGGCAGAAGAGAGTGCTTGGGTTTGTTTATTTCTTTATTTTGTAGGGGCTCTGTGGGGCTCAAGAAGCAGATACTCTGAGTCAGAGGATGGTGACCATGCTGTGTCTTCTTTGGGGGGAAAGCATGAAGCTCCTTCTTGGCAGTGTTGTCCATTGCACATGTCAAGATCCCTGGACCATGACACCTCCCGTATCTATACTCTCAGCCTTTGCAAATTTCAGGATGACTCCTTAACGCAAAGCTCTTCCAAGAAGCATCTGCCACCTTTAAGTTTCAAACTGGTGAGCCTGTTGGCATAAGGGAATAAGGTGAACACATTTGAGAAAGACGTTACGCCAAACAATAACCCCACTGCCCCATATTCCCCATAGTGAATCTAACCTATCAGAAATCCCAGTAATTAGGTGACAATTAGAACCCAACACTGTCCAGAATTTCTGCATAGTTCAAAGCCTCCCATTTATTGTACTTTTGAAGTACTTTGATCTTGAGAGATCTTCATCACTTATAAATGAACCAGTCATTAATGGCTTTTTATGCATCTCCAGAGAGCTATCACCATTCTCATTAATCACAGAGACTAAACAACTCCTTTTCCAAAGCCATATATTATCTAACACTTGTTCTTTGCTACCTTGGCCTTCGGGGTCTTATATATTCCAAATGAATGAATTTAAGATAACAATTTTTTTAAAATAAAAAGTCTTCTGGAGGGTTGCATACCTTATTGTTCCCCTTTAACTCAAAATTGATCAAATATAGCTTGCAGAATGAGGAAAGGAAGGGACAGCTGCAGGTTTGGATTAATCACGATGCTGAAGCTAGGGTTGCCATATTTTGAAGAGCAAAAAAGAGGACACATTTGCTGACTTCTACTTTTAACTGTGGATCACTATGACGACTCTGCCCATGAAAAAGAGGACATGTCCTGGAAAAAGAGGACATATGGCAAGCTGGACTAAATGAAGAGGGGAGATGCTGGTTCCTCTCCAGTTCCTATAGAAACTCTGCTAATCTAAATCTAAGGTCTATCCCCCAACATGCTGACATGTCACCCACATAAGTCACTGATAAGATGTTTTATCCAAGAAAGGTCAAAAAATGGTCTGTTCCCTACCAATAAGAAGCTCCCAACCATTGGCTGGGGTGTTAGGTCATAGAAACATTAGAAGAATTAGAAGATATTCTATCTTCTGAGGTAGATGGTTGAATGTGGACATCCTCATGCCTCGTACGTAAAGAGGATGCCTGTTCAACAAATGAGAAGCCATTCTCTCTTCTGAAAACTAAGGTACGTAGAAAGGTCCAAAGGCTGGGTCTTCACAAGCACATTTCCGTTACAGCAGGGACAGTGAACCAGTGACCTCCATATGTTGTTGGACTCCAAAACCCATCAACCCCACCAGCCTGGTCAGTGGTCAGGAGTGATTGGAGCTGTAGTTCAGCAGCATTTGGAGGACCACAGCTCTCCCATCCCTCTGTTACAAACGTGGTCCAACACCAGTGTAGCATCAGTAATGAGATTTTCGCTGAGATTGCGGCATTGCCGGGGGTTGGACTATATGACCCATGGGTCCCTTCCAGCTCTATGATTCTATGATCACTAAGCTGGAGAATCTCCAGGCTCCACTGGATCAAGAAGACTTCATTTGCACTCTGATCCTTAATGGGCAGCTGTAATTTTAGTCTAAGATGGTGCTGTTAACTGGAAGGGGAATATGAGACGGCAGCATCTTCTTGCTATCTGTTTCCAAATCTTTTAAACACTGGGCTACTCCTCCTTCATGTCTGTGTTCCTTGATCCAGAACACCCAGGCACTAGTTCCTTAAGTGACTTGGGGCACAGGACCATGACACAATTTTTCATAAAAACTGAATATGTTCATTGATGCAAGTTAAGGCCAACTTTCATAGGGAAAGTCACCCTGTAAACAAAGGTCCTGTGCTAAGTCTTATGCAGAGTAGACCCAATGAAGTTGATGGGCATGACTAATTTATGTGTATTCATTGCAATGGCCCACTCTGAATAAGAATCCTGCTTGCGAGTTTCCAACAGGCATCTGGTCAACTGTGAGAACATTATGCTGAACTTAAGGGGTCACTGGTCTTGTGCTGGTCCCAAGGGTTACAGTGCAGCGAGGTCCGAGTCTAGTCCGAGGTTGAGGGTGCGGTATTGAGGCTGTCCGTCAAAGCTGAAGTGGGGTCCAAGACAGGGAGTTGGGTGAGGTCAGGAACTCTGGCAGAAGAGCAGGACAGGGTGCAGGCAGGAACAGGCTACCAAAAATGTTGCTCCCGCAACCTGGGACTGGGCTGGCTGGCTTTTATCTGCCCCAAGGCATAGGGCAGCCCTGGTCCACAGGTGACTCGCCTCTCCTGGCCTGGAGGCAAGCACTCCTCCTGAGAGAACTTAGTTCCTTCCACCTCTCTGCCCTGAGCCTCTGCAGCTCAGGAGAGGCTGGAGGGTTACCGGACTCAGAGGCAACCTCAGCTCCCCCTGACGGGGCTGAGAGCAGGCAATGGGTCCTCCATCACCTCAGGAGCCAGAGCAGACTCAGCTGGTGCCTGCACCTGAGGATCCAGCACAGGTGAGGACCCTTCAGTCTCAAGCCCCAGCCCCGGCTCAGCTGGTTTTGGAGGCGGGGACTCCTGTGCAGGCTGGGATTCCTCAGGTTCCACCTCCAAGTCCGAATCTCAGGCCATCACAGGTCTGATCTTATTCTGTTATGACTTAGCTGAGTATAACACAAAGTATTGTGTGTGTGTTTTTGAAAAATCTGAAGTGTTGGGGGGGGTTTAGGTCAAAGGGAAAGGAGACCCCAAAACTTCCCCGGAGAAGCCCCTTAGAGAAGTGAGGCTGCAGTGAGATTTTTTCAATCTTTGTTTACTTCTTTTGCACCACTCCCCTTCCGTCCTCCTGATCAGAATGGCTTTACAAAGGACTCCACTCCACCGCCAACTTTGGCAGAAGGCTTGGAAGCACACCTCCCTCTCACCATTCCTTTATTACTTTTACAGCCTTTCCCTACTATCACGGCACTTTTATGACGAAAGGAGCGATTGCCTCACTCTTGATCAAGTCCAAGAGCAACCCTCGGGGATGCATATAACTTTTCACAATATTCTTAACAGCGGTTTCTCACGTATTCCTGGGTGGGCAGCACTTGCTAGCAACTCCCCCAGTGCCGTTTTATGGAAGGAAATGTGCATTCTGGTTTGGGTAAGGGAAAACAAAGAGACAGACACACACAGAGAGAAAGAGAGAGATCCCTTCTTCATAGCACCTCCCACGCAGCACCACGCACAAATCCTTTCACCCATCTGCCCCCACATGTCTTAACTCTCTGCATTTTGTTTTAGAGACATTTCCCTCCCCCCCTCCCCAATGCCCAGGTTCCATCCTGAACCAAGTAACAAGCTTAAAGCGATACCTTCGTTTCCTTCTAGGAATTGTCAGCATGCATTATTGCCTAGAATGCAGTGCTTAATCATGTCTTCTGCACTCCTCTAAGTGTTGCGTGTGTGTGAGAGAGAGAGAGAGAGAGAGAGAGAGAAAGTATTCAGTTCATCCGTGATTTCTGCTCCACTGGAGGTGTGATGCTCCATTTAGGGAGAGTGAGATGAAGCGTTGGTCTTGACCAAAGGAAGAAGATTTCGTTAAACGTTGCAAGTATTCGAAAAAGGATGAAAACGGGAAATTTTCGGTCTTGAACTGAGGAATACCTGGCAGAGATTCACAATGGACACCTCTACCCAGCCTTTGGCTTACCAGGCAGAGGGACTTCTCGGTAGTGGCGCCCGTCCTGTGGAACACCCTCCCACCAGATGTCAAAGAGAACAACTACTACTAGACTTTTAGAAGACATCTGAAGGCAGCCCTGTTTAGGGAAGCTTTTAATGTTTGATGCATTATTGTATTTTAATATTTTGCTGGAAGCCACCAAGAGTGGCTGGGGAAGCCCATCCAGATGGGCAGGATCTAAATTATTATTATTATTATCAATGAAAGGGTGCCCGCAGGGGCAGCACATTCCATATTGCCGCTCGAGGTGAAGCAGGAACAGCTGCCCTGCTGGTGCATGAGGGGCTGGACTAAGGAGGAATGGTGGGAGCCGCCCCCTCCCTTTTTCTGAACCTTCCCAAGGGCAGGAGGACAGCATTGATTTAGAACAGTGGTTGCAGAGGGGCATAGTCCAGAGGGGGAAAGCTGGGAAACACTGGGTGAGGAACAGCTAAAAGAGGAAACACCAGGAGATAGCTGGGAGATTCAGTCTCCTTGGACAGCATTCCTGACACACACACCCCTTTGCCCAAGACTAGACAGACTTGGAGAGTGATAGAACAGAAAGTGCAATGGCAACAAGCTCAGATTACATGACATAGGAGTGGCATAGATTAATGGGGATGGAGGGGGTAGACCTTTACTGGGAGCAACGCCATTTCTAGAAGATATATGCATTCCTTTGTCTCTCGCTGTGATTATTAAAGAAACAAACTGGTAAGAACGCTCCTTTCGCTTGATCTGCCTATCCACTGCCACCGGGGGAGGGATCTGATTCCCCGACGCCTGACATGGTGCCACTGCTGCCAGCATTCCCACTGGCACCATACCTGCTGCCTCCAACAGCTGCACTGCCCACTCTGCAGCTGCCGTGCATCCTGCCACATCCACCGCTGGAGCAGGGCTGATATCAGGCAAAGGTGCACCGATTTTGGGTGAGATCTTGCCCCGAATTGCATGAGGTATCACAAGCACTGCAAGATCTCATGGCGAATGGATGCAATCTCGCCCAAAACCAGTGCTGTTTGTGGTGGTGCTTGTACGCCACTGGTAGAGGTGGCAGGGCAGGCAGGGCACACACAAAGCACTGCCTCAGGGACTTCTGCCATCTGAGGCTGTGACCTCACACTGCCTAATGGCTGAGCCGGCTCCAGACACCAGGGACAAATAGCCAGCAAAGATCCCTTGCACCAACAGGCTGCAACAGATTATCTGATAATCCCTGACCCGTATGAAAGCTTCTGGATTAGGCTAGTTTAGGAAGCCACCTTGCCGACAAAGGTCCATATAGTTAAAGCTATGGTTTTCCCAGTAGTGATGTATGCAAGTGACAACTGGACCATAAAGAAGGCTGATCGCCGAAGAATTGATGCTTTTGAATTCCAGCCTTACTGGGAGAGGCCAGGGATTGACCCTGAGAACAGAAGAATATAAGACTTTTTGCATGTGATGCAGATGTTCTGCTGTTGAGCCCTGGCCATTTCTACATAGCTTATTGCCCTGATCAATAAGAAGACAGGTTTTTTGCTGACCACAAATTGCTTTTGTCCTCCAGGGGGGAAGGATTAGGAAAAAGGAGGCCTGATTTAACCCCGGCACTTGGTTGCTACTTCTCTGCATTTGGTATCTCAACCATGCTAGCTGTATCTATATCCAGGAACCACGGAGGTGGGCATTGTGTATAGGTGTGTTTTTGTGTTACTTCACACACCTGTACTGATGGGCAAACTGTACACTGTCAGGGGAAGCAACTGGTCACTGAATAGTTATTATTACCCTGACCCATGGAAATCTGCCCCTTGAAGTTTGCCTTAAGAAACAGCCAATTTGATCATTACTTCAAGTCAAGTTGCTGTGGTCTTACTTGAACCTTCTCTGTTTTGTGTGACCTAGAACAACTATTCCTTATGAATCCACTCTTGCAAGCCGGCTAATGCAAATGCACTGATTCTTTGTCTGCATAATGTATGCCATATGTATCATTTGGATCTCCTTGGTGCAGAAACGAGAACTTCGTTTTTGTTTTTGAATGGAATAGATGAGTCTCCAGCATTGAGAGGAGGCCCTGCTGTTTCGGGGGCCACAAAGCACGGCCGTTCCCTTTGGCTCTGCTTCATTAGCCCATCTGCATTTCAGCCCTGCGGCAGATAACAATCTCCTTTCCACTGTGCTGAAAAAAGAACAGTCAACTGGGAATACAAGGCTGAGCTCTAAGTATAGATTTGGGTTCCCCTGCCCGGATCTTAATGGAGCAAGGAGTTAGTGGCAGACAATCTTCGCGCTCTTACCTGCTGAATCATCAGAACTCTCACACTTTGGTAATTGAGGAAAACATATAAATACTGCATAGAGATCTCCTTGGGCTGTGTTCGTAAAACAGTTATGTTCTGTTAAAGTGCTTTTCTTGTACAGGTTAATCTCTCAAAACAAAAGCTGGGAAATAACAGCAACCAAACCAAGCTGTATTTCTGCTACACGATAAACCCTCTCTTTGCTTGTCTGCAAATAAATGATTCCCAGAGGCTCTCCTATTCAGAAGCGGAGAGAACCTTTTTTTAAAAAAAGGGAACTGAAACCATAAAATTGGAACAAGAAATTACTCTCAAGCCCCATATCCCCTCCCTTTCAACCTACCAGCGGGCACCTATCACCCTCACAGACCTTCCAAGTGTCCCTATTTTCCAGGGACAGTCCTGGATTTATGGAAGCCATCCCAGTTTCTGATTTGATCCCAGAGTGTCCCGCTTTTCCATGTTGTGTTGTTTAGTCGTTTAGTTGTGTCCGACTCTTCGTGACCCCATGGACCAGAGCACGCCAGGCACTCCTGTCTTCCACTGCCTCCCGCAGTTTGGTCAAACTCATGCTGGTAGCTTTGAAAACACTGTCCAACCATCTCGTCCTTTGTCATCCCCTTCTCCTTGTGCCCTCCATCTTTCCCAACATCAGGGTCTTTTCCAGGGAGTCTTCTCTTCTCATGAGGTGGCCAAAGTCTTGGAGCCTCAGCTTCAGGATCTGTCCTTCCAGTGAGGCACTCAGGGCTGATTTCCTTAAGAATGGATAGGTTTGATCTTCTTGCAGTCCATGGGACTCTCAAGAGTCTCCTCTAGCACCATAATTCAAAAGCATCAATTCTTTGGAGATCTCTTTTCCATAGGATGTCCCTATTTTCATCAGAGAAATGTTGGGGGGTATGGAGTTATGCAACTCCCAGGCAAAGGAGCTAAGTAACTATACAACCTTTAGGAGACATCTGAAGGCAGCCCTGTATAGTTTTATCATGTTTTAAAATATGTTAGAAGCTGCCCAGAGTGGCTGTGGCAACCCAGTCAGATGGGTGGGGTATAAATAGTGTTACGGAAATGTTGGGGGGGGGGATCTTTAAAGTTTTTACATGTTACAAATGTTATGCCTGAATGTATCCTTTCGACTTGACAGCTCAGGGAAGATACCTAGCTTTATAAATTCATAGAAAATCCATACTTTTAACCGACTCTCCTCATTCCAACTCCATTTTAACCCTTAAAGAAAGGTGGATTTGGGCTCCACCTCCTCCATGAACCAAGAAGCAGGAAGTCACTGTAGGCAGCAGGAACAGGGTATCCCGCCATAATTCCTCAAGCATGAGAGCACATACATGGCACCCCACACGGGAGTGACCAAGGGGGCAACAATAGGCATCTGCAGAGGCTGTTTAGCAAGTCAGGTGTTCTGAAAGCCCATCTCCAGACAAGTCTTCTTGAGGGTAATGATATGTAAAGAGTTTTATTGTTCTTTCGGTGATAGGTACTTAAGAGGTATTGGGAAAGGTGTCTGATAAACTGACCTAATGTTGAACTTGTGTAACCCTTGTATAGTAAAAGTAAAGGGACCCCTGACCATTAGGTCCAGTCGCGGACAACTCTGGGGTTGCGGCGCTCATCTCACTTTACAGGCCAAGGGAGCCGGCGTACAGCTTCTGGGTCATGTGGCCAGCATGACTAAGCCGCTTCTGGTGAACCAGAGCAGCACACCGAAACACCGTTTACCTTCCCACTGGAGCGGTACCTATTTATCTACTTGCACTTTGACGTGCTTTCAAACTGCTAGGTTGGCAGGAGCAGGGAACGAGCAATGGGAGCAAGGACTGTCGCGGGGATTTGAACCACCGACCTTCTAATCAGCAAGCCCTAGGCCCTGTGGTTTAACCCACAGCGCCACCTACGTCCCTTGTATACCCCTCCCCATTTGTGACATGCTAGTGATGTAGTGATGATGTATCAATGATGCTGCTTGAAGTGTATTCTGGGGGAAAGAGGGAAGTTTTAAAAGAGGATGTCACCCTATGCTCGGGGTTCTTACTTCAGGGAGCCAATGTGTTGTAGTGGTTAAGAGTGGTAGACTCGTAATCTGGTGAACCGGGTTCGCTTCCCCGCTCCTCCACATGCAGCTGCTGGGTGACCTTGGGCCAGTCACACTTCTCTGAAGTCTCTCAGCCTCACTCACCTCACAGAGTGTTTGTTGTGGGGGAGGAAGGGAAAGGAGAATGTTAGCCGCTTTGAGACTCCTTTGGGTAGTGATAAAGCAGGATATCAAATCCAAACTCTTCTTCTTCTTCCTATGGGGACGTGTTGCACAACAATAAATATCATGGTCTACTTTCTTGGCTGGAACTTCCTTCTTTTACTGACCGCACGGACCCGCGGGGGACTTGCACCCTGATGCGCTGGGCTGTTGAGTAGTCTCTCACCCTGGAATTTCCCCCCTTAACAATAGTAAAACTATTATTGTGGAATAGGACGTCCCTAGTTTCATCGAAGAAATGTTGGAGGGTATGCTCTATGCCTTGCCTTTATCCTCTGTCAGGCTGAGCAGCTCTGGGTGCTGCGCATGCTCTCGCCACACTCTGACTTCCAGTCTGACTGGCTCACCTTCCAGTTGGACCTTGGCACGCCAGAGACAAAGCCTTCCTTCCCTTTCCTCACAATTACGCCCCTTCGTTGATTTTGTCTCTGTCCAAACATGTTTGTGAAACGCAGTGAAAACCTGCAACGCTTTGGTGAACATAGACAACTGCAGGCAGAGACCAGGGACAATGGCTCTTGTTTCTTCCCAACTTCACCTCTCCTGGGGGAAGGGAGCTGACTATTGTCTGTCTCCAGTCTTTGGTGAATGAGGCATTTTCCTGCCTAGCAGTCGCCTGGCTTTCTGAAATGATTCAGGATCTTTGATGGGATGAAAGGCACTCTATAAATCCCAGTTTATTACTATTAAGCGGGGCTCCGAATGAGTATTGCCCCTGCCTTGGAGGCGACTCCCATCTGCGGGCTGCTTATTTGTCTATAAATCATAGAAACCTACATTTCTGGGGTGTTGTGTTGTTTTTTTCTAGCTTTGTATATGAAATAGGAAGCTTCTGTGACATTCTCTGAATCACCAACAGCTTCCCCACAGTTTCTCAAAGGAAAGTTACCAATATATTCATTTCCTACTGTGAAAATACTTGCAGTCCTGAGCACTAGGAGGAGGGGGGATGGATGGCTTTGAACATACTTTCGCTTTCTTTGTTTTTGTTTTTGCCAAGTTATTCTATAATATCCTCCAGGCATTCTTTTAACAAAAATAAATGCACGCTATTTTCCTCCCATTTTGCAGTGAGCGTCCCTGACACCGGGGCCTCCTTTGCAGCTATACTTTTTGCTGAGAAGATCCGGAAGCGTGAATTTTCTTTTATTAGTTCGTTCAGTGGTGTTGCGGTCTTCAGCTAACATATTAATAACTGCAATAACTTCTGTGTAATTATCTTATAAATATGATGCAACCCCATTTGTCTTGATGGCACCGGGATTGGGATGGCAGGGAGACACGCAGGCTTGCATTGAATGCAGTACTAAGCCAATCCTTCTGTTAGCGTGAGGTTTTATACTTCTGCATTGGGACTCCCCCAAATCTCCTCCCCTGTGCACCCCCTAAATTTGTTCTGGGGTTTTCCCCAACCCTCTAGAGCAGGCATGTGGTTCCCACAGGTGGAAGAGAGTGGAGAAATTTCATTGCACTACTGCCATATTTTTTTTGGTATAGCTATATTGGTGTAAGAATACTGGCAATGATTGCTGGTATTCACAAGTCTGGCAAACTCCTCTTCTAAAAGATATTTCCCACAAGTTGAAAGTAGCATCATGGATCCTTTAGTTTAGAATCATGCATTACAGGGGGTTGGACTAGATGGAAGGGGTCTCTTCCAACTCTACGATTCTGTGATTATAAGACACCAATTTTTTCACAATATGGCATGACTTTATTTTATTTACAAGTGAAGAAGCCCATGGCCATAGGTTCCCTCCTGTTTATGTCAAGGTGTGGATTATGTGAAAGTACATGTAGGCAGACATAGGCTCTTTATATATAAATTGGATTAATGTTAATTGGGGAGAAAGGGAAACATTGTTTCATTATTAGTTTTTTTCATTTAGGGACTCCTCGAGGAAATGCCTACTTCCATGGAAAACAGTGTAACTCTTTTGTCTTTTCCTGCTGGATCTTACGTCACGTATTATTTTGGTGCAGGCCTTTTTCATTATTTCATTCCATTTGCATGTAATTTATTCCACCTTTTGTCATAATTTACAAATTCTAATAATAACGAATAGCGGCAATGCTGGTCAGTTTTCTTCACCGGAACCGCTTTCATGAGCAAATCTTTTTCCTTCCTAAAAAATGATGCTCTGTTGTGTGTGTGTGTGTCTTAATTGATGTGGGAATGATAAGCGAAAGCCCCCACTAGGAGTCAGTGTTGTGTCACTGTCTAAAGCAGGCTGCCCTCCCTTCTCCTTCAGCGTGAGTTATCCAGAAGGCAGATGAGAGGAGCAGAGGGGTGCAGCGCGCAGGTCAGCTCCCAAATAAACACATCAAAGCGCCAAAAAACATACCGCATCCTGATCTTTAGAGGCCGGTTTATCTGAATCTCACTTGAACTGTACTGAAAAGCATTTCCACTGAAGCGGTGAGCTACGCCGCCGCAATTGACCCACGTCTAAGGTGGGCTCTGCTCACCATTCTTCCCCTTCATTTCCTTTTCTTCCAGCGCTGCATTTCCCCTTCATCGGCCTTGGATCCTAATCAGATGCAGTTCTTGGTCTAATGAAAGCAGAGGTTGCACCTAACAAGCTGCAAGCCTTATCTGCTTTTGGGAAGAGTCCCTCTGTAAGGTGCCTGGGGAGAAGGAGGGTCTCTCGGCAGAACAGGCTTCTCCAACTTAGTGCCCTCCAGAGGTTTTAGATTACAACTCGTGTCAGCCCCCAAACCAGCATAACATGCTGGTTAAGAACTTATGGAAGCCGCCAAGAGTGGCTGGGGAGGCCCAGCCAGATGGGCGGGGTATATATAATAAATTATTATTATTATTATTATTAAGAAGAGCACTACTGGATCAGGCCAAAGTCCCATCCAGTCCAGCATTGGTTTCTTAAAAAGGTAAAGGGACCCCTGACCATTAGGTCCAGTCGTGGCTGACTCTGGGGTTGCGGCACTCATCTCGCTTTATTGGACGAGGGAGCCGGCGTACTGCTTCCGGGTCATGTGGCCAGTATGACTAAGCCACTTCTGGCGAACCAGAACAGCGCACAGAAACGCTGTTTACCTTCCCGTCGGAGTGGTACCTATTTATCTACTTGCACTTTGACGTGCTTTCGAACTGCTAGGTTGGCAGGAGCAGGGACCGAGCAACGGGAGCTCATCCTGTCGTGGGGATTCAAACCACCGACCTTCTGATTGGCAAGCCCTAGCTTCTGTGGTTTAACCCACAGCACCACCCGCGTCCCTCCATTGGTTTCTTAACAGTGGCTAAATAGATGCTCATGGGAAGCCAAACTGATGTAACAGTAATCTTTCCATCCACCTGTGATTCCCTGCTACTGGCAGTCTGACATAGAGCATACTCATCATGCTATCAGCCACTGAAAGCCTTAACCTCCATGAATTTGTCTATTCCTCTTTTAAAGCCATCCAGAGTTGGCCACTGTCACTACCTCTTATGGGAGCCAACTACTTCTACTGCCATTGTTGTTGTTGTTTTCGTTGTCAGCTTTCTTCACACATTCTAGCTTGTCAATATCCTTCTTAAACTGTGGATCCCAAAACTGGACACAATATCCCACGTGTGGTAAGGCAGAATAGAGCAGCACTATTACTTCCCTTGATCCGGACAATATACCTCTCTTGATGCAGCCTAGAACCGCATTTAATTTTTTGTTTGTTTGTTTTGAGTTTGAGTGTTTTGCTGCTGCAGCAGCATCGCACACTGTTCATGCATGTTAAGCTTGTGTTCTGCATCCTTTTCACATGTGCTGATGTCAAGCCAGGTGTCCCCCATCCGATATTTATGCACCTGATTAATATTCTTCCCTAAGTGTAGAAGCTTACATTTGTCCCTATTGAAATTCGCTTTTGTTGGTTTTGGAACAAAACAACAAACATATTCATTATTCATGGCATTTTGGGGGGAGGGGGCCGGGCGATAAATGAAAATTGAACCAAAGGGACATCATTTGGTTTGATTTCTCATTCTTTCCAGTAGACATGCATCTCGCTACTTTTCCAGAGAGTCAGCGGAGACATTCATCTGCCAGCAATCAATCATAGTGAAACTGAGTAATGTGCGTTCCTGTAGGGGCTGAGTGGAAACAGGCAGTGGCAAGATGTTTGGGACCCTGATTAGTTCTGAGGATAGACTCCTTGGTATATGGCTTTGCTATAGATCACAGTGAAATAATGATTAAAAAAAAGTGAGAGAAAGAATCATCTTACTGTCCAGAAAACAAAACAATAGTTCCTCTGTAATAATGATGTTCAGGGGATGCCCAGCCAGTGATACCCCAAATTGGATACCCCAAGATAGGAAGGTGTATTCAGGAAAGATCAGCAGCATGCCTTGTTAAAGTCTCACTTACTGCCTGCATTATATTTGCGGTCCTTTGCTTCCTCATGACATCCTGTCTGTCACTGCGATCTCTTTTGCTTCCCAGGTGATGGAGGTTTGGGGGATGCAGCAAAAGATTTCAGGGAGGTCACTGTTAGTTGCCCCTTGCATGGCTCAGGTGCATATCTTGTACAGTGGTACCTCGGGTTAAGAACAGCTCAGGTTACCTGTTGTGACAGGATACCTGCTGCAGGTTACTCACTCTTGCAAAGGTAATTTTCAAAAGATACAAATTTAATTTCCAGAGCAGCTACACCTGAATGACAGTGGTACCTTGGGTTAAGTACTTAACTTGTTCTGGAGGTCCGTTCTTAACCTGATACTGTTCTTAACCTGAGGTACCATTTTAGCTAATGGGGCCTCCCCCTGCCGCTGTGCCACCGCCGTGTGATTTCTGTTCTCATCCTGAAGCAAAGTTCTTAACCCGAGGTACTATTTCAGGGTTAGCAGAGCCTGTAACCTGAAGCGTATGTAACCTGAAGTATATGCAACCCGAGGTACCACCGTATCGACCAAGAGCTGTGGGTTCAGTACAGTGGTACCCTGGTTGTCAAATTTAATCCGTTCCGGGAGTCCGTTCGACTCCCAGAACCATTCGAAAACCAAGTTGCGGCTTCCGATTGGCTGCAGGAGCTCTGAAAAATGTTCGCAAACTGGAACACTCACTTCTGGTTTTGCAGCATTTGAGAATCAAGGTACCACTGTATTGTGAATCCAGTTCTGTGGGGCTCCCTCCCAGCTGAGATCAGGCATGGCTCCCCTGCCTCTTGAATGTTCAGGAACTATAAGTCATTGAGATGAAATAAGCAGATGTATTTCAGGACCATATCCTTCTTAGGGATAGGTGCTATGTAGAGTATGGGAATATGCACAGAAATTGCTCTGCTCACCAGGTACCCCTATTCTCCTCTGGGTCTGGGTTCCCAGATTAGGGCTGCCAGATTTTGAAAAGCAAAAAAGAGGACACTATGACAACTCTCATTTTAAATACCCCTACTACATGTAGAGTGACGCGGGTGGCGCTGTGGGTTAAACCACAGAGCCTAGGACTTGGCGATCAGAAGGACGGCAGTTCGAATCCCCACGACGGGGTGAGCTCCCGTTGCTCGGTCCCTGCTCCTGCCAACCTAGCAGTTCAAAAGCACATCAAAGTGCAAGTAGATAAATAGGTACTGCTCCAGCGGGAAGGTAAACGGCGTTTCTGTGCGCTGCTCTGGTTCGCCAGAAGTGGCTTAGTCATGCTGGCCACATGACCCAGAAGCTGTACGCCGGCTCCCTCGGCCAATAAAGTGAGATGAGCGCCGCAACCCCGAGTCGGCCATGACTGGACCTAATGGTCAGGGGTCCCTTAACCTTTACCTTTACATGTAGGCTATAGAAGCTGTGATATATTGCTGAGGGGGGTTGGAGAAGAGAAGAGGAAGGCAAGTCTTCAACCACCAGTTATGTCTCTGTCTCATCCAGAAAGTATAGCCAGAGACATTTTGGCAAATCTAAAAAATCCACCCGGACAAAAATTCTATCCCTGAAAAAGAGGACGTGTCCTGGAAAAAGAGGACACATGGCAACCCTACATGTGTAAGAATTCAGTCTCAGTCCTGCGAGACCAGGGTTCAAAACCGTCACTCAATGGTGAAACACACTGGGTGACCTTGGGCCACTCTCTCTCTTTCTCAGCCCAACCAACCTCACAGGGTTGTTGTGGTGATCAATGAAGAGGGGTTGAGGGAGAAAGGTGGGATATAAAAGTGATTTTTTAAAAATTAAAAAGAAAACAAGATAGTCCTGTGCTCCAGCCTTTGCCGCGGTATCTCACTCGATCTGTCATCCACAACTCCTTGATGTTCAAATTCATTGTTTACCCGGCATGTTGGTGTAATCCTGTGCAAACACCATTTGTGTTTGTCTAATTTTCTGTTTATCTGCCTGCCTTGGACGCCCGCCGAGCCCTTCAGATGAGCGGCGATGTACGGCACTTGCTTCCATTCCCAGAAAGTTAACTTTATACCGTATCCTCATTAATTCAACACAAAAAGGGTCTGCGAAAACAAACAAAGGTCTTAATCCTGTTTGCAATTCTGCCATGTTCCTCTGGCTCGGGGGGGGGGGGGGGAGAAGCAACAACATTTTCAAGTATTTCCATTTATTCTTTTGACAAACTAATGGTGTGGCAAATCACCTGGAGCACAGGAGTCTGGCTCAATACTACTTACACTAACTGGAAATATCTCTCCGGGGTTTTAGGCAGGAGTCTAGCCCCAGCCTTACTTGCACCTGGTCTGATTTCGAAGAAGCAACTCCCTATGGCTGTGTCCACACATTACCAGTATACCTGAAGGAGTGTCTCCACCCCCATCGTTCTGCCCGGACACTGAGGTCCAGCTCTGAGGGCCTTCTGGCGGTTCCCTCGCTACAAGAAGCCAAGTTACAGGGAACCAGGCAGAGGGCCTTCTCGGTAGTGGCACATGCCCTGTGGAACGCCCTCCCACCAGATGTCAAAGGGAAAAACAACTACCAGACTATTAGAAGACATCTGAAGGCAGCCCTGTTTAGGGAAGCTTTTAATGTTTAATAGGTTATTGTATTTTAATATTCTGTTGGAAGTCGCCCAGAGTGGCTGGGGAAACCCAGCCAGATGGGCAGGGTATAAATAAATTATTATTATTATTATTATTATTATTATTATTATTATTATACCACTTACTCTGATTCCAACGGGCTCCCGCTGCTGGCATTTGAATCTCAGACCCTCCAACAAAACAAAGGGGGGGAAATGGGATGGGCCTTTCCTTGCTAGCAGCCAGAATTGATTTAGCCCAGGGATGTCCAACTCCCAAGAGACTGCAATCTACTCCCGGAAAAAATGGGGGGGGGATCCAAAGTTGTTTAGCTTTTTTTAGGGGGCTGGGCTTTTTTTTAGGGGGGCAGTACTTATTCTGCCATAAGTCGCTAAAAAATAATAAGTAAGAACTCCACCACTCTTGCCTCTGATGCAGCGCTTAGGCAGGCATTCGGCCCTAAAAACGCTCCCGCTCCGTGCTCCTCTTCCCTCGCACCGTCACTGGAAAGGAGAGAATGAGCACTAGGAACGCTGCCCAATCACATGGGTAGACCAGCACAGCTGGGGATCCACGAAGCCTTCTGCTGGAGTTAACTTGCCTCAGCCTGCCAGCAGGGGCTTCCAAAATGCCCGCGTAACAGGGTGCTGGCGGCCGAGCGCCGGCCAACTCTTGCCAGGTCAGGACAGCATGTGCATGTATACACTTTTTCCCCTGAGGAGGAAAATGAGCACGCGATCTACCACTATCACTTGGGGATCGACCTGTCGATCACGGTTGACCAGTTGGACATCCCTGATCTAGCCTATCTAAGATACTGGCACAGGCTAAATGCCTTCGGGGAACATACTCTTACTAAGCTCTGTTGGTTAGAGCAAGTAAGGACAGGGGGCTGGGCACAAAAGTGCCAAGTTAAGTTTAGGGCTTGTTGTTGTTGTTTAGTTGTTTAGTCGTGTCTGACTCTTCGTGACCCCATGGACCAGAGCAAGCCAGGCCCTCCTGTCTTCCACTGCCTCCCGCAGTTTGGTCAAACTCATGCTGGTAGCTTCAAGAACACTGTCCAACCATCTCGTCCTCTGTTGTCCCCTTCTCCTTGTGCCCTCAACCTTTCCCAACATCTGGGGCTTTTGCAGGGAGTCTTCTCTTCTCATGAGGTGGCCAAAGTATTGGTGCCTCTGTTTCAGGATCTGTCCTTCCAGTGAGCACTCAGGGCTGATTTCCTTCAGAATGGAGAGGTTTGACCTTCTTGCAGTCCATGGGACTCTCAAGAGTCTCCTCCAGCACCAGAATTCAAAAGCATCAATTCTTCGGTGATCAGCCTTCTTTATGGTCCAGCTCTCACATCCATACATCACTACTAGGAAAACCATAGCTTTAACTATACGGACCTTTGTTGGCAAGGTGATGTCTCTGCTTTTTAAGACTAGTTCTCTTTCAAATGGAGAACTACTTAGCCCTTAGCCCATGTGACCTTAGAAACTGGATTTTTGATGAGGATGCCAACCAAGACAGAGCCTCCCCTTACTCTACTTGGTACCCCCAAATTAAGACCGATCACTCAAGGCCCCGTTACCTTCAGACTCTGGCCTTCCCACAACTATGCAGGGCCTTTGTAGAAATAAGATTCCAACAGATACCCTCAGCATATTTGGAGGGGAGATATTGGGGAATTCCCCATACGGATTGCAAATGTATATATGATGCAATCAGGTAAAGGACATCACACACTATCTGCTGATTTGCCCCCTGTATACAACACCCAGAAGAAAATTTATATCGCCAATTCTTAATTGGCTTCCAGGTCGATCTGCACAGGAAGTGACAGTTGAACTCCTAGCAGATAAACATCCAAACATTACACACCAGGTAGCCAAATTTGCACTGGCAGTCAAGAAGCTCCGTTCCAGCTATGTGAATGCGCTCCAATCTTAAATTTTAATGTTGTAAATCTCTTTTAGATGAAAGTTTTCCTTTTATTCTCTGTCGTCCATTGTAAAGGCATTTGGCTGTATACAATAAAATTGACTGAATGGATTAATGAGACCCAGACTAAAAACACATAAAGCATTTTCATAAATAAAAACAAACCGGTTTCATATGTAAAAAGCAATCGAAACAATTCTGTCTATATAAAACAATTCAAATCCACTGCATTTACAGACTGGATACTTGTCCGGTTTGCTACTATTTTAGGTACTTTTTCAGAAAGAGAATTTCTGTGCTGGCTCTTATTTGGGAGACCAGGAGAGGAAATTTAGTTTCTGGCCATGTCTCCCATAATGCAGTGCACTGAGCTATGACACGACAGGCTCTTAATTAAAAAGAAAGTAACAATGTTCACCTTGCCATTCAGCTGATTCGCCTTCCCCCAGAAAGCCTGTAATTCTTATGTTAACTTTTCCCACAGTGCCTTGGCTGGGCCTTGACATTTATCGGGAATAAAGACTATTATTGTGCAACAATATTGCAAAAGTCGACCTTAAATAAGAAATTGGACGTCTACCTCCTGCCTCTTTCAGGCTGAAACCAGTTTAATTAGGTGATGCCAGTTGTCATTTGTACTGTGGACTTATTGATGTTTAGTTTTAATGCCATATTATTCTCAGAGGTTTATGAATTCCAGCTGGGGGGAGGGAGGAGCTGCTGGCAGAAACTTTTTCATATTACAAAGCCAATGCCTAATGGAACAGGGTTTTCTTTTCCCTCTCCCAGTAAAGTTGCTTTAATCTTATATGAGAGTTTTTTAAAAACCCCAACTTCTCTCTGTTTGTCCTGCATTCTCCCATGAAGTCCTGTCTCAATGAGAGTTGGTGCTCTAGACTGTCTTTTCAAATGCCTCATGAAACTTTCTCCTTCAATTTCTTGGTTTTACCTATTTCTTTTCTCTACTACTTTTTTAATTACTTATAGAATCAAAGCACTGTAGAGTTGAAAGGGTCATCTCGTTCAACCCCCTGTAATGACTTAGAGTCTTACACACTTAAAAGATGGCAGGCAGGGTTGTATGACTTTATCTTTCTTTTATTTATTACGTTTTTATTCGACATTCCCTAAGGAGTTGGACACAATGTGCAGGAACATAGGTAGCTGCCCTATACCCAGTCAGACTAAGGCTGTGTACACATTACCATTTATTCCACCTCCAGGGCACAAGGTCGGCGGTACAAATCCCTGCGACACAGTGAGCTCTCATTGCTCTGTCCCAGCTTCTGCCAACCTAGCAGTTTGAAAGCTTGCCAGTGCAGGTAGATAAATAGGTGGTGGGAAGGTAAACAGCGTTTCCATGTGCTCTGGTTTCCATCACGGTGTTCCGTTGTGCCAGAAGCGGTTTAGTCCTGCTGGCCACATGACCCAGAAAGCTGTCTGTGGACAAACACCGGCTCCCTCGGCCTGAAAGCTAGATGAGCGCTACAACCCCATAGTCGCCTTTGACTGGACTTAACCATCCAGAGGTCCTTTACCTTTTACCCATGGCATTGGTAATGCACCAACACCCGGAAGTCAGTATGTTAGCTACCCCTTGGATAAACAAGGCCAGTGTTCTGACCTGGTATCATGGACTGGTTGGATGCAGAGGAATGCTGGGAAGAACCAGCTGAGGAATCACCAAAGGAAGAAGAAGAAAAGAAGAGTTTGAATTTGATATCCCGCTTTATCACTACCCTAAGGAGTCTCAAAGCGGCTAACAATCTCCTTT